TTTTTGTTAACAAACATAACAATAAAAAATGTTCATTGTGGTAAACAAAATAATAATTTTATCTAAGTAAGAGTTTTATTTTCACTTATTTGTAACAAATCCTTACATTATGGAAAAAGATTAATATTATTTCCAAAATCTGCATAGCTGAATTATGGAAAATCCATTATTAAAACCAAAACAACTTTTATGAAGTTTAAATTTGCAGGCCTGTGTAACTTATGTTAGTTGATTAGGTCATATATAATTAGTTATATCGAGTTAATCTTCCAGCTCTTGTATAAGTGTTTTTGTAGAAACAAGAGATAAAGAATATTACTTAAATGCTGTGCAAAAAGCAGAGGAAAACTGATGAATCTAAACTAAAAAAATATATTCTTTATGTCTGAAAATATAAATGAAAATTAGGCCTAGCGGTTAGTTTGGCAGGCTGTGAATTGATGGGTCCATGGTTGAACCCTATAGAACATGTTCTATATTTTCAACTGTATATACGTCACAAGTGAGATAGTAAATCTATTTTTTGGATAAAAAGTAGCTACATAGAGTAATAAGCAGCAGTTGTGTAGTTTTAAATATGGATGAGTTATTCCTTAATCTCAAAGGTCTTAGACCTGCCACGTAGTCTGTGTGGCTTATAATGTACTGGTAAGGTTGAAAATATCAAAAGGAATTAAATCAATAACTATCAGTTTGTATAGTCTGTTATCAAAAATGTTTAAATGCTATGGGGTTACTAAAAATAAGAGCTGTTGTAATCTGGTTTTTACTTGTATATTTGCTAGTATTTTTATTTCTAAACTTTATTTTAAGGCCAGTGATCTTAAACAAAAATACACTCAAGGACTAAACAACCTATTGTTAAGACAAGTTTTGATAATGTTTAACTTTTTCTTTATCCTGTTTCAGGTCACAATAGACAGACATCCAGTTCGTTTCTTTGTTCACAAAAGACCTCATGTTGACTATTTTCTTGATATTGTAAGTAAATCTTTGGTTCTTAAACCAAAATGAAACAATTAATAGCTTTGTTTGGGAAATTGCAGACTTTTATCTTGATAAAGTCATGTTAGCTTTAAATTACATGTAAGATAGTTTTAATAGGTGGGTAATAAAAAGCAGATTCTGTAGAAATTGTAAGATTTTTCTTCTTCATTTGTAGTTTCTATTTATGTTTAAAATTATGGCAATAGAACTAATTTAACCGTATTTGGACCACAGAACACCTTTCAGGTGTTGAGTACACACCTGCAAATCAAATCTAAAGAAATTAATTAAAAAGTAATAATTATTACAATTTTTGAAACAAAAATATTTTAGCATGGATATTTTTCAATTGATATTTATCTAGTGTAATTCACAAAAAGCATGAAAGAAGTGTTATACTTTTCATTTCTTCACAGTTCCAATAATCCTTGCCTGTAAACAATACATTCATTGATCTTTTCTTAATTTTCTGCCCATTTCTTGAGAATATAGATATCCATGTCATGTTTCTCAAGCAATTTTCTTTCTCTGTTAATAGTTTTATTGCTATAGCCATTTGTTTTTACTCTTTTATGATGTAACAGCATGTGATCTGAACAGTTCCTAATAAAATAAATGAAAATACTCTGTCATTATTACTTAACTCTCTCAGCATGGGTTCGGTCAATTTGTACTCGTTCGAAGTCTTTATAAATTTGACCCTACTAACTTTTAATATAGTGTATATATCTTCACGAAATTTGGCAGTCTTTCAGTAAAAGAAATCATATTTTTAGTAAAGTATTTTTAATAACCTAAAAAAAAGATTTGTCCTCAAATATATTGAGTACTTGTTTTGAATAGTTTGTGTAAACAGTGTTTTTAATGTTATGATTATTTTTTTTATTTTT